TTTGAACCGCCAGCCTTCTGGTTAGCAGTCAAGTGTCTTAGCCACTATGCTACCAGAGCTCCTACAGAATTACTTAAAGCACCTATTCTTCTTCTACCTAGAATGCCCTCCCCTTAATAATCCTCTGACACTAAACTGAATTGTCATAACCTCTGGGAAGCTTTCTCTAAATGCCACTTCCCTGTGTGTCCAAATGTTTATGACATGGGATACATGAATCTATGATTCATTTAACTGTTCTTTCCTTGTAATTGAGCATCTTGCTATGTTAAGTGTAATGGAAATAAGTCTGTCCCAACCTTACGGAACAATTCTCATGTTCTTAGAAATATTATAAAATTATATTCTGTATATATTCTCTATTATATATTGTACCTTACTGTAATTCACCCACAGTACAGGATTATACACCCAAACCACATATATTACACTTTATGGGGAACTTAAGAAATCTTAGAGTAATTTTTACTATACACAACTACAGACTGAATTTAGATCCTACCCCTGCCCCACATAAGAAGCAAGTCTCCTATTTTCCAAATGAGAATGTTAAAAAAATATATATTAACTTTTTCAAGGTACAAAAACTCTATCATACTGAGAACATACATAGTTCTCAATAAACACAGGTTGGCTGATTCTAATAATCTGAAAGTATTTTTACTCATTCCTTCAACAAATATTTATTAAATATCTACTATGTGCTGAAGGTTTGTTTATGGAATACCTAAAGCTACATCATACCTTACCTTCCAAAAATCAGTTATGCTGCGAATAGACTTAAAGTTGGTTCTTTCATCACCAGGCACAGAAGTGTCCAAAAATAGAGATGACATAACCTTGTTTAAGTAATACATATGTGGGTTTACAATCCCAAAAGTCACTAAGGAAAAGAATTTTTTGTTTAAAAATTTATGTTTAAAAACTGCTTATCAGGATTATAAATGTATTCACAGTTTGTTCCTGATTATGCTTTAAAATTTAGTTTTATATTTTTCTAATTTTATAACTAGTAAAAATTTTTCTAAAAGTAAAAAATAGAAATAAACAAAGTAGGAAGTTTCCCCTAGAGTTAGGATTGGCATATATTCTTCCACATTTGTCTTTATGCATACACATTTATAAATTTCTTTTTTTTTAAAAAAAAAAAAAACCAAGATATTATACATACTATTCTGAAACATGACTTTTTTTCTCTACATTGAAAGCAGACAATTTAGTATGTTGACTGATTGATTAAGCTATGGACTTTGAATTCAGACAGATATGGGTTTAAGTCCCATCATAGGGATAAGAGCTCCTATTGCATAGTTTTGTTGTGAGAAATAATCCTGTGGGGGCACATGGTATGAGTTTATACATACAAACACATATATATACATACATATATATATATATACATATGCCTAAGGCATTTGACTGCTAACCAGAAGGCTGGCAGTTCAAACCCACCAGCCACTCCTCGGAAGAAAGATGGGGCAATCTACTTCCGTAGTGATACTGCCTCGGAAACCCAAGGAGGGGTCGCTATGAGTCGGATCCGACTCCGTGACAGTGAGTTTGGTGTATATATATATATATATATATATATATATATATATATATATATATATATACACACATATATATACTAGTGTTCTTTCTCGCTTTCTCTTTTTTGGGGAGTGTTGTGGGTTGGGGCTTAGAGAGAGGTGTATCCTAAATATTTTACCTTTATTTTTTTTTTGCCAGGAACCTTGTAGTTTTGAAAACCATGTATCTTCAACCTCATTCCATGGCACATATATACCTATGCCATTCTTTAATAATTGCGCAGTATTCAATTCTTCCTTATTACGAAAAATAGTGTTTGCTTTAATTTCCCTGAATAGTTGGATTATAAGTCATTTTTTTACTTATATTTTTTCATTTTCCAATTATTTTGTAATTGTTGTTGTTGTGGTTGTTATGTGCCGTCGAGTCAGCCCTGACTCACAGCGACCCCTCCTTGGGTTTCCGAGGCAGTATCACTATGGAAGTAGGATTGCCCAACCTTACTTCCGAGGAGTGGCTAGTGGGTTTGAACCGCCAGCCTTCTGGTTAGCAGTCAAGTGCCTTAGCCACTACGCTACCAGAGCTCCCAATAAGCATGTATTATTTTTATCATGAAGCTTTTAAACACCAGTCTAAGAGATCTTAATTTATAAGGTTGACTACAGTTGTCATTTTAATCAAGATATGACTCAAACTCACTCTTATAATACCAATCAACTGTTTAATTGGTATAGAATTGCCACCATGAAGCACATACAAATATAAGTCCTACCAGTGAGTGAACTTACATGTTATGTATGTTGGGCACTCAAAACAAAATGTTTTTTAATACTGTTCTTCATATATTAAAGAGTCACTAAACAAAATGAAACTCACTGCTGTCAAGTCGATTCGACTCATAGTGACCCCTCCCTGGGTTTCTGAGGTGGTATCTCTATGGAAGAAGATTGCCCAACCTTCTTTCCGAGGTGTGGCTGGTGGTCACTGGGTGGGGCAAATGGTTAATGCGCTTAGTTCCTAAATGAAAGGTTGGAGGTTTGAGTTCACCCAGAGATGCTTCTGAAGAAAGGCCTGATGATCTACTTCCATTTGGAGTATAGTTTTACTCTGACACACATGGATTACTATCAGTCAGTGCTTACTGGTGGCAAATGGTTTAGTTCACATTAAGTTAATGCTACTTACACACAGATAGGAGGAATGAAGGCTGTAACATTTTCTGAGTTCTCCTTAAAGATTTCCATCGATCCATACCTTTTGTTACTCGGCACAAACATGTTTTACTATCGACTGTGCTACATGTCAGTGAAAAGACCAAAGCTACTAGCAAACATCAAGACTAACTTTTCTTTGACCTCATTTATAGTATGATCTACACAACTGAGGTGATCTGTCTATCTGGCCTCTACAAGAAATCAATTTAGAACTGCCAACCCAAAGGAATAATTGTTATCAGTATCAACCATGGGAGCTTCTCATTATTTTTTGTGACCTAACATTTTGCTGTATAAGAATTGGAAATAGCATCAATCTAAATGAGTATCATCAATCTCCAAAGCCAAAAGCAAATGCACTGCCGTTGAGTCGGATCTGGCTCATAGCGACCCCTCCTTGGGTTTCCAAAGCTGTATCACTACAGAAGTAGATTGCCCAACCTTCCTTCTTAGGAGTGGCTGGTGGGTTTGAACCGCCATCCTTCTGGTTAGCAGTTAAATGCTTTAGGCACTATGCCACCTAAAGATAATTAAAAAATGGTTGCAGCAGTATATTGACAGGGAGCTTCCAGAAATTCAAGGCAGATTCAGAAGAGGATGTGGAACAAGGGATATCATTGCTGTTATCAGATGGATCTTGGCTTAAAGCAAAGAATACCAGAAAGATGTGTTTTATTGACTATGCAAAACCATTCAACTGTGTGGATCATAACCAATAATGGATAATATTGCAAAGAATGGGAATCCCAGAGCACTTAATTGTGCTTATGAGGAACCTGTACACATACCAGGAGGCTGTTGTTCAAAAAGAACAAGAGGCTACTACATGGTTTAAAATCAGAAAGTGTGAGTCAGGGTTGTATCCTTTCACCATACTTATTCAATCTGTATGCTGAGCAAATTATCTGAGAAGCTGGACTGTAAGAAGAAAGTGGCGTCAGGATTGGAGGAAGGCTCATTAACAACCTGTGATATGCAGATGACACAACTTCACTTGCTGAAAGTGAAGAAGACTTGAAGCACTTATAGATCAGAAAGTACAGTCTTCAGTATGAATTACACCTTAACAGGAAGAAAACAAAAATTCTCACAACTGGACCAATAAGCAGCATCATGGAGAAAAGACTGAAGTTGTCAAAGATTTCATTTTACTTGAATCCACACTCAACATCCATGGAAGCAGCATCAAGAAATCAGACATCATATTACAGTGGAAAAATCTGCTGCAATAGACCTCTTTAAAGTGTTGAAGAGCGAGAATGTCACTTTGAAGACTAAGATGTGCCTAACCCAAGCCATAATATTTCCAATCACCACATATGCATGTGAATAAGGAAGACCAAAGTAGAGTTGATGTTTTTCAATTGTGGTGTTGGTGAAAAATGCTGAAAATACCATGGAGTGCCAGAAGAACAAATAAATCTGTCAAGGAAGAAGGGCAAGCAGAATGCTCCTTGGGAGCAAGAATGGCCAGACTTCATCTCACCTACTTTGCTCATGTTGTCAGAGGGACCATTCCCTGAAGAAGGATATCTTGCTTTGTAAATAGAGGGTCAGTGAAAAAGGGGAAGATCCTCAATGAGATGGATTGACACAATAACTGCAACGATAGGCTCAATATAGTTAGGACTGTGAGGATGGTGCACAAGCGGGCAGTGTTTCATTCGATCCTACATAGAGCCACTATGAGTCAGAGTCAACTGGATGGTACCTAACAACAACAAATGAATATAATAGTATTTAAAATGTGTCACCATTTTTTAAGAAGTTTTAGTAGTCTGACAACCTATGGTTTTACGTATGTTTTATTTTTCATCTCCACATTTTAATTTCATAGCTCAAACAATCACCATCTTCATCTACATCTGTGTACTTACATATACATAGGTTTATTAAAAAAATAAAGTAGACTAACAACTCCTGAAGTGTGGTTCTAATTTCTACTTCCTTCCTGTATTTCAGTTTATGTTTCGGAGTCCCTGTGAGACATAAAACAAAAATTTTCTTTACATTGTGATGTAATTTACAATGTATTTAATTTACAATAATGGAAAAGAACAGTCCCTTTTAACTGTGACACTGTGCCAAGGAATACTCTAATGGCTTCTGTCTTTTTGGTTCTCACTTTTGAGGCAGGGATAATTAGGGTTTTCTCATGGTGGTAAATGGGCAGCTGCTTTATAATTATATACTACTAGATTTTATAACACGGATGTTACACACACACACACACACACCTCTATTCCCAATCTTCTCCACCTGTCAATAGGCTGCTTTCTGCCAGAAGGGGGGAAAAGCGCTCTGGGTGGGCTTCTGTCAACGCCACGACAACTTAGTTCTAGAAACGGCTTCAAAGACCGGCCTACCGGCGATCACTGTACCGCAGGTGGCAGCGCCCAAGCTTGAGCTCTGGGCAATGGAGGAGTACCATATTTTTTCCTCAGGATTTCTGTGTCCTCGCCAGTGAAATGCGACCACTTGTCCCTCCCGGCTTCTCAAGAGATTATGACGGCTAAATGTAATGGCGGTCATCCCTAACACATAAATAGAAATTTGGAGCTACAGGGTTCCTTCCAGGGCATTTGAAATTGCCAAATTAGAGTCGCTCTACCCACTCCCTAAAAGCACCCCTCACCGACTTGATGCCGCCGAGAAGCCTCAGCCATTGCGAACCCGGAAAACGCCCGTTCGACCAGCCCAACTCTCCTGCACCTGCGCAGTAGTCTAGCGGCGCGCTCGCTCTAGCTCACGCGCCAGCGCGAGGCCTCCGGGTGCTGGGATTCGAGTTTCTCTAGGAGTTGCAGGCGCGCTTGCGCACCGAACACCTTTCGGTAGGTAGTTCACTTTAGCTTAAGTTTGGGATTGTGGTATTTGCTTCCTACAGGGCCCCAACTTCTGGGACAAACTGACCTTTGTGCCTAGGGTTAATCATAAAAATCGTTGTAATTTTAATTATTGACTACCCTTAATAACCTTAATATTTACCGCCTCGTTTAATCTTCACATCCAACTCTCTGAAAGGTAGGTAGTTTTGTCCTCATTTCAAGGCCTGAAGAAACTAAGACTTTGAGAAGTTAAGTAATTTACCCGAAGCACGGGAGTGGTCCAGGCAAGATCAGCCGGACGCTAAAGCCAGAGTTTCTAACCGTCGCCTCAGGCCGCCGCTGCTACTTGGACAAACTGTTATTGGAGAGCTGTTGGTAGAAATGGCTCCCACTCCCTCTTTCCCCAATATGGCTAAAGACAACGTTAACATAGACTGAAAACATATAGATAGACCATCTCTGCAGTGATTATGGAAAAGGTCAGGCCAAAACAGTAGTCCTTGGGAGCCCAGACTCACATCTGGCGCAGATATTTTGCAAAGATTATGAGGTCTGTAAACCAGCTGTAGAAAATGTCAAACAAATCTGTAAATCAAGACAGCCAAAAGCCCTCCAGGATAGGACGGGAGGGATTCTTATGTTGGTAAAATGGGAAATAAAACAGAATTCTTTTCAAAGGCCCTAGAAGGCTGCCAGCAAAGAAAATTACCAACCTGCTTTGAAAGTGAAAAAGAAGCCACTTTTGTTATTTCACTGACAGAGATGAAGAGTGATGTTGATAAATGCTGTTTTCTGTGGAGATGAAAAGCCAAACTAGGTCACAGTTGTTATGTGCCCTCGAGTGGGATCCTACTCACAGCGACCCCTCCCTGGGTTTCCGAGGCAGTATCACTATAGAAGTAGATTGCCCAACGTTCCTTCCGAGGAGTGGCTGGTGGGTTTTAACCGCCAGTCTTCTGGTTAGCAGTCAAGTAAGTGCCTTAGGCACTATGCTACCAGAGCTCCTACACAACCACAGTTGTTGTTGTTGTTGTTATGTGCCGTCAAGTGGGCCCCGACTCATAGCGATCCCTCCTTGGGTTTCCGAGGCAGTATCACTACAGAAGTAGGATTGCCCAACCTGCCTTCCAAGGAGTGGCTGGTGGATATGAACCGCCAGCCTTCTGGTTAGCAGTCAAGTGCCTTAGGCACTATGCTACACAGTCACAGTAGTGAGGGTCAAAAACTGCCAATGATAAAAGACCAGGAGGAGCCCAAATTGTAAGAATAAACTGTTTGTTAAGGCCATCCTATTTGTGTGGTGTATTCTTGTTGGAGCAGCACTAGGTAACCAGAATGCCTACCAAAATGCTAACAGCCATTGGTGGAGAGGCCTAGGAAAAAGCAAGGGCTACTGATGGCATAGTGCCTAAGGCATTTGACTGCTAATCAGAAGGCTGGTGGCTCAAACCACCAGGCACTCCTCTGAAGGAAGCTTGGGCAATCTACTTTCTAGTGATACTGCCTGGGAAACCTAAAGAGGGGTCGCTATGAGTTGGATCCGACTCCACGACAGTGAGTTTTTTATGCTAGTTTAAGAACAGTTTTATAAAAGGATTTGCTTTCCTGCACTTGGACTCTTAGATGCTTACAACATTATGCTTTCTAATGTGACATATTAAGGAGCTCTGGTGGTGCAGTGGTTAAAGTATTTGGCTAATAGTCAAAAGGTCGCTGCTCCAGGAGAAAGATGAGGCAGTCCTCTTTGGTAAAGATCTACAGTTTTGGAAACTCTATGAGGCAGTTCTAGTCCATCCTTACAGGTCACTATGAGTCAGAATCCACTTGATGGCAGTGTTTTTCTTTCTTTCTTTTTTTTAATACCACGTTATCTGTGCACACTGAAGTTGAATTGTAGAAAGAAAAACACCACAATATAGGTGTTTAAATTCACATAAAATATAAGAATTATGAAGATAACCTTTAAAAACTATTATTGTGTTGAATAGACTCAAGGATCTTGACAAATTATAGACTTATTTGGTTAAAACAAAACTACAATTTCAGGAGCAATTCAGTCATGCTTTAAGTTATTGTAGTTGTATTTGAAATGCAAATCATGCAAAGTGTAGCTTGTTGTTGTTGTTATGTGCCAGAGTCGCCCCGACTCATAGCGACCCCTCCTTGGGTTTCCGAGGCAGTATCACTACGGAAGTAGGATTGCCCAACCTTCCTTCTGAGGAGTGGCTGGTGGGTTTGAACCACCAGCCTTCTGGTTAGCAGTCAAGTGCTTTTAGCCACTAGAAATGGACTGAGCTGTCAGTGAGCGCCACCAAAAAGAAACTTCTAGAAAAGAATGTCGCCCTTTTGGAACTGGTTATTCATAGGTTTTGCTGGAGGGGGAAAAAATTAAAAAAAAAAAAAAAACCTCAGAAATTACTTAACCTTACACATATATTAAATATAGCCATTGAACACAGTAGGCAAAGTATATGTTTTATTTTAAAGATCTGGACTTTTGTGAAGAAAAGCAGTCTTTTAAATAGTTTAAACTTTATTCTTTAGACATAAAATTATGGAACACTCAGATAGTCTCTACCATGTTAGTATTCTTAAATCAAAAACAGGTAAAATAGTACTTAGAAAGCAGTACCAGTAAACCTTCTCTTACTACAAGCATTAGAGTGTTTAAACAGTTGGTAATAGTTCATACCTGTAATTGTCAGATGTATATGATTTAAATGTTAAAATCCCACATTTTAAGATAGTCTTCTATGGTTACAAACCCATACACCCAGATTTTCTGTAGGCTTTACAAACCAGAGAAGTATATAGAATGTGCAAGGGTAAAAGGAAAAGTAATGTTATTAAGTACATATTAGTTATATTACCTGATTAAAGCAATAATTTGTTAATACAGCTATGAATTTATTTCAGAAATTTAGTTGGCTATATTATTATTAATGTAGTTATGTTTTCCAGTATTGGTAAAGTTATTAAAGTTCTTCACTTTCATAGAGTCCAGATTGAGCTGCTAGACGCTGAAACTCTCCTTCTGGGTTAAAAGCTTGTTTCACATCCAAACCTTTCCCATTGAGTGCTAAATACTTGCTGAAAGTTGGTCGAACACGTAACTGCTTAGGAGCTGGAAGAGTTTGGTTTGGACGGGCTGGAATAGATAAGATAAAAGTTAATTTAAACAAAACCCATTCTAAACAAATTGGTCGCAGTAGGTAATCATCAGATAGGAAAAGAAAAATGATCGAAACTGTGTGTGGGAAAAAATTCTTCAGATTTTATACTATGCTAAGATTGACATTTCTTGTTAATCTTCCTGGTAAAGTCCTTTATAATACCTGGATTGTTAGAATGACATACCTGTAACATCTAATCTTGTGTTGCATGTGGTTACTCCAGCCTCATTAACTGCAGACACAGTATACCACCCAGCATCTTTCTTGTTCACATCTTTTATCAGTAAAGTAACTCTTCCAGAGTTATCATGATACAAGCTGAAAAGAAACATTTAAAAATGAAGTCACAGGAATTTAGTTTGTTTTGTCTTTGACCGACAGAAAACAAGAGAAAGAACCCTTTGAAATGCTGAGATGGTATCTAGCCAAATAGCTATTGGTTTTCTTGAATTGAATGTTCCTTTTTAATCTTATTTATGTCATTTTTTTTTCATAGTCATCTTTCTTTCTTGTTCGTAAAGGTAGACAAATTGAATTTATAAATGCATGCCGTTTTTTTTTTGTGTATTTTGAAATGCACTCAAACTCTAGTTAGGTCTGAAAATACTTAACCTACCTTATTCGGTCAGTGTTGAATTGTACCATTTCATTGTTTCTTTTCCAGAAAAGCTTTGGTGGAGGTACAGCTGAGATCTGGCATTCCAGTTTCACTGAATCTCCTTCAAAAACTTTTTTGCTCTGTGGTTTGTAGATAAACATTGGGGCTCTTCTGTGTTCTTTTGCTACATGTTAAGAAAAAGAGTTCAAGTATTTGAAATATTGGAAAAAAGGCATTTAATCAAAACAACATATTATGAAGTTTGTACATTGATATAATGTTTTAAAAACTAACAAGATTGGAAACCTATTCCAAAACTTTGTTTTAGATTAAGATAAAGTAATATGTGAAGCTACAGTATTATTATACCATTCAGAGTTCTAAAACAGTAAGGTAATGATGCATTTAATGTATAATCATGTTTCATGCAAACAATTTAGTGATATCTTCATTTATAGAGATATTTATAGAGATGCAGTATGAGTGATGGAGAGATATCTTATTTATAGAGATGCAGTATGAGTACCAGACGATTTAGTTCAGGTTCCCTATTTGCTCTACTAGCTATGCCAAATTGGGAAAAATTTAACTTATCTGAGCCTCAGCTTTATCTATTGTAAAATAATATCTAAGTAGTAATGACTATACCTACCACACAAGATTATTGTGAGGGTCAATTGAGATAATGAATGAAGAGGCATTCTGTAAATTGTAAAGTAATATGTAAATGTCAGTAATTATTACGATTTTACTTTTCTTCAAATACCTCAGAGAGAAGAGGAAATGATACTCTAGTACTACAGCTCTAGCTTTTCTTAAGGAGAAATGAGGAGGTTGCACAGGTGCTTGCCAAGATCTCTTTCAGCTCTAACATTATAGTATTCTGAAACTATTAACACAAGAAAGACTTGTCCAAAGCTTAGTCACTCGAATTGTGTTTTTCTGATTCCTAGCTCAATAGTTCCCTTAGTCTGAGACCCCTTATTATATCATAGAGTAATTGTAAAGATTTTCCAGTGATTTTGGTAGAATACTAACTCAAGAAAATTATCCATTCTTTAACCTGATCAAGATTTATATAATAAACAATGAATGATAGCAAAATGTCTCTTACACAGTACTCTCTGATTTAAACCATTATAAATGTGATATATCTAAAGCACTTAGATAGGAAAATGTTAAAATAGGAAATCAGTTTTATAAGAACTATCTGATTAAAGAAGTATTTGAGACATGAGCTTTTGTTATCATAATTAGAAATTGGTTTCCTAGTAAAGAGAGCATAGTTTAAGGCTAAAAGTTGACATTTACTCTTCAGCTTTAAGTTATGCATAGATTATAACAATTTTATAAAAGCATGAGTCAGATTGCTTATAGTATTTTACACTGCAGACAGGAGAAATGATTAGACTAAAATTTTCACTTTGGAACCCTACAGTTATGCCTAGAAATGCTTATACTACCTTAATAGGTCTACCTTACATTGTACCACTTCTTTATTTCCTTTCGGGAAAAGCTTTGGTGGTAGAGCTATCATTCTAGTTTCATTGAGTTTCCCTCAAAAACGTGCTTCTGTTTTTTTTATTTTTCTATAGTTTATAAATAAAAATTGACATTCCTCTGGGTTGTGTAGAAGTCCTCTGGGCTTTTTTAAGTTTTTTTTTTTTTTTTTTTAATGCTATTGGGAGCTCTGGTAGCGTAGTACCTAAAGCACTTGACTGCTAACCAGAAGGCTGGTGGTTCAAACCCACCAGCCACTCCTCAGAAGGAATATTGGGCAATCTACTTCCATAGTGATACTGCCTCGGAAACCCAAGGAGGGGTTGTTATGAGTCGGGTCTGCCTCGACTGCACACAATAACAACAATTGGATTTTAAGGAACTCTTAAGAATCTCTGTGAAGGCTTACCAAGGACATCCAGCTGGACAGTAAAAGTGGCTTCTCCTGCTCTATTCTTAGCAACACATACATAATCCCCTGCATCTGAAGGTCTGACCACTTCAAAGATGAGTGAATGAAAACCCTTTTCAGACACTATCATTTTATGAAAATCATCTGATTGAACTGGTCTTCCATTTAGGTACCATGACACATCAGGAGCTGGCAGTCCACTTACCTAGAAATAAAAAAACAAGTAGGTGACAGAATTTTAAAATAAATAGCATCAGTAGAACCCATTCGTCCATTTATGAGTTTTAACAATTTCAGTATCAGGATGGGTTTGTAATTAAAAATGCTCAAAAAGGTTTTTGCCTTTAATGATTATTAACAAAACAGAAGGAAATGAAAACTTTTGAAATTAATATCGCATTTCCACAATATTTCAAACTACATCTATCTCTTTCTTATGCAACCTCAGTCTCTTTAAGATCTTTTATTTATTATATTTAGAACATTATGTTGGTCTCTATAAGGAATATGGAAAGCATATGGTTTTTCTGGCTAATACTGACTGCAAATGAAGTCCTAGAGGCATATGTATGTGAGAGTTCCTGATCTAACGAACAGCCTGTCCAAAGCACAGTGTTCTTAAGCTATAATTCTAGTGTATAATGGAAGTTTGTTAAATGTTTTTATATAAGCCATAAGAAGAGCTCTGGTGGCATAACGGGAGCTCTGGTAGTGTAGTGCCTAAGGTTTTGACTGCTGATCAGAATGCTGGTTGTTCAAACCCACCAGCCACTCCTTGGAAGGAATACTAGGCAACTATTTCTGTAGAGATACTGCCTCAGAAACCCAAGGAGGGGTTGCTATGAGTCAGAATTGACCCAACGGCAGTGAGTTTGGTTTGGTATTGGTTATAACAATTAAGTCCATACACTAACTTTATTTATAAGGAATCTGGAAAAACATTTCACAAAAGAAAGTTCTTCCCCAAAATGAAAATAATAAAAACATAAGCTCTTCTAAAGAGCTATTCTAGCTTAAAGAACTCTTCTAGGGCAAGAGAAAGCAGGTAGCTTGCATTTTTAGAGAAAAGTTTTTGAGGAGAGTTGGAAATCGTGTTGTTAGGACAGCTTTGCTTCTGTGGAATATTTATTAGGTGGGAGGCACTATTGTGAGTACTTTACACCTATTCACTATTAATTCTTATAACTTTATAAGGTGGGTACATTTATTATTCTCGTTTTACAGATGAGACACAATCACAGGTTAGTAACTTCTTTAAGATTACAAAACTGGAAAATGGCAGTCAGGATTCAAACCCAGGTCTGCTTGGCTCCAGAATCAGTGTTCTGATCTACTCTGCATACTGCTTCTCAAGCTGTGAGGCAGGCATGAGTAGGAAGATGACATTTTGCAAAACTTAGTATCCCATTGTTAATTTTCTCACAGTAGTTTTGAAATCTTCTCTTACTTTAAAGTCCATTCTGCAGAATCTTCCTTCTTCAAGTGATATGTTCTCTGGCACTTGAATGAAACGTGGTGGGTAAAATTTCTCCTGGATTGCATCCTGATCATTCACACCTCCCCTTGAGGATGATCTACTTCTACAAAAGTATTTATTATATAATAATTATGCAGGAAATTTGTCAGTGTTCTTCCTTACACACAAATATAACTTAGGCATCAAATATGAACTGCCCACCTGCTCTGGCTCTACAGTTCAATAGTGTAATAACAGTGGAGAAAGGCCTTAGGGCGATGGCATATTTGATGGTTTTTAGAAGTTACAGTAATGTAGAAGCATCTAGAACAAATTATACATCTGTATTTCTTTATAAAAGTAAATGAATTGATGAAGGAACTGAGCTATTCAAATGCAGAATACTGTTCTTGTGGTCTAGTCTAATCACGTGTGCAAAGATTGCATAATTAGAATTGTATTTCTGTTGTCATGAGAAAGTTGTTTAGCATAAAAATGTGTTCCTGGTTAATTTGACTAAAGCATTAAAAACTTCCTCTAAGATAGTTCTGATACTGTAAAATTTTTGATCATCATCTTGGACATCAGAAAATTTACATTATTTTAAAAGTAAACTTGAGGGCTTTATAAATACTGTATTTTAAACTGAAAACATTTTAAGTACCAAAATACATATTTTGTTACAGAGATTTTATTTTTACCTTATTTGTGATGTTGGAACTTGTAGTCGTGCATGTTCTGAGTTGTGCTGCTTGAAATTAAAACAAAGTAAAAATGTTAACATAAAACTGTTAGCTTGAAATGGAGCAGAATTAAGTAGTGAAGTTTAAAGGAACATTTCTATTTTGTTCTGTGATCTACTTCTGCATATGCAGTGAAAGATACATTTGGACTATATTTGTACTATTTGTTACGGTTTGTTCTATATATTTAGCTTTAAAGTATTAAAAATATAGTACTCAAAAAAACTCACTGCCATTGAGTCCGACCGAGTCATAGCGACCTCTCCCTGGGTTTCTGAGGCGGTATCACTACGGAAGTAGATGGCCCAATCTTCTTTTTGAGGAGTGACTGGTGGGTTTGAACCACCAGCCTTCTGGTTAGCAGTCAGATGCGTTAGGCACTATGCCACCAGAGCAAGAAAGTCTCAGGACTATTAGGACTAATCAGCATGTATTGGTTATTTATGAAAATTAGCTAGAGTTTGAATTATGGTGGTTCATTTTTCAGATGACTATGTTATGACAAAAGGTGGTGTGCCCCTGGCGTATTTGAAATGGGAGCACAGAGTACAGATTGTCCTTTAATAAAACGGGAATAGACATGAAGTCACTAAAGTTGGCATTAGATACAGGGTATTATTTCTGCTGCTCAAAAGTGGCACCAACAGCAGTAAACACACATTAGACTGGAAAATACTTCCCTTTTTAGCTTGTGGCACAAAACTCTGGTGGGTGCAATGTAGAGCTATGAGAAAGCTTGGGAAAACAGCATTAATTGCTTCCTGCTTAATAAAGGTATATTGAGAGTTAAAGTGAACATCTTTTAGGATTTATATCTGAGCACCAGGAATAACTATAATTTGAGAGTCACATCAGGAATTGATGAAAATTATGGAGTTAATTAACTGATTAAATATTTATTCATGACTTTTATATCTTTCACTGCACTTGGCACAATGGGAGATATGCAGAAGTGGAAAATATAGTCTCTGCCTCTCAAACAACTGAAATACATCTGTATAGGAATACAGGGTATCTGAGTACAAGTAATTTATTTCAAGATATATCTATTTAGCTAGTGTATTTTTTCATTTTAAAATAAAATTCTTACAACTCTTTAAGAATAGTTTTTGCTAGCCTTGATGTTTTCTAGGAGTCCCTGGTGGTGCAAACGGTTGGCATGCTTAGCTGCTGACAAAAGGTTGGAGGTTCAGGTCAGCCAGAGGTGCCTCAGAGGAAAGGCCTAGCAATGTGCTTCTGAAAAATCAGTCACTGGTAACGCTGTGCAGCATAGTTCTATCCTGACACACATGGGGTTGCTATGAGTCAGAATTGATTCAACAGCAACTGTTTAAGCAAAATGTGAAAACAGGACAGTTCAATGATCAGATAAATCAACTAATGTTCTGGTAAAAAAAAATCCAATGAAAACCCAAAATATCCAAATTCAGTATTTTTTTTAGTAGTGGAGGTGGTATTTTAATTATACTATAATTTGATGACATTTTTTGTATCATGTAGGTATAGTGCTTAAAATGTACATAAAAATGTAAGATTTATTTTTTCTGATTTCATAATGATATATTATCAATGCTATCTTTTTTCTTGGTACCATTACCTTCATTTTAAAGATTTTTAAACAATAATTGAGAAAGACAATGAAACCTTGCCCTTAGAATCATATACTGTGCACTTATGATAAGACATCATCAATGGAATGTTGCTTTGTGTTATTTCTACCAACAGAGTTAGGTTTGTGCCTTATTCTTGTTATAATCTCCCATACCAAGTCCAGAGCCCAACACATATTCATATGTTGTTGTTAGGTGCCGTGGAGTCGTCTCTGACTGGTAGCGACCCCATGCACAGCAGAACAAAACACTGCCCGATCCCATGCCAGCTCCACGATCCCTGCTATACTTGAGCCCATCATCGCAGCCACCGTGTCAATCCATCTCGTTGAAGGCCTCCCGCCCTTTCATCAACCCTCCACCCTACCAAGCATGATATCCTTCTCCAAGGAATGGTCCCTTCTGACAACATGAGCAAAATAGGTGAGATGAAGTCTGGCCATTCTCGCTTCCAAGGAGCATATTCATATAAGTTAGTTGAATGAGTGAATTAATGCCTAAAACCATCAGTAGCCAAAAAGTGATTTAAGTTCTGTTTTCAGTTTCTAGTTACTTACTCTGATAGACCCTGGTCCATCATTTTTACTAGGTCTAGTCCCAATTAACAGACACAAAAAAAACTTTATTTAGAGCTTCCCATACTTGGAAGTTTCCCATCCTTGGAATTCTTGATTGCCCAGCTTCATACCTCTGGTTTCCAGTTTGTTGTAGGCTTTTTGGGAGGGGATGAAAGAAGACCGAAAGATAGAACAGTAACAGTTTGGTTTGTCTTTCCAACTGTCCATTTGTCTTTGGGGTTAAATTTACTTGTTAAAATTAACTTGGTTAGGCACAAGCCTATGTGATACTCGTTTTATATCCTGCATAAAGTTAATCCCTTCTTGGAATGGATGCTTTTGTTAATTTTAGTCATTCTTAGAACCATTATTCATTAAATTTTTTTTTCCCCAATAAGCAATTTTGGGTACAGGAACATAAGAAAATGGGTTTCATTAATACCACAAGTATATTTGAAAACATAGAAATGATAAATAGCTTATGAGAAAGGTTATAACTATTTTGGTTTAGAGTTTCAACTTCTGTCCTGTTAAAGATTCCCAACTCAAAAATTCTCTTTTAATCCAGGCAGAGTAGAAAGAGTTTTAGATCTAACCCCTAAACGTCCAGATTGATAGTGCATAATTGAGACTTCTGGTGGTTTGACTTTTTGATGTTTCATATATAGATATTAGAAAATAGAGTCAATTTTTAATTTATCTACATATTTCAGCCCATTGTGGCCCTTATATATCTAATGGAAATGGAGGGGAATGACTTAATTCAAATGCTATGTATAAGCATTGAGAAAATTGAACAAAGAAAAATGCTCCCATTAGATAAAGTCTGTGTAATTTACCTGTAGTGAGTCTTGTGCTTCATTGTCATTTTGAGCTTGAAATACAGCAGCTGCATTCTGAGGTCCTAGCAATCTGCGAGCCATCTTCTCCTCATATGTTAGTCGCTTTAAAGAGATGAATCATTAAGGAGGTCATGAGACTTAGTAAAAGTTATTTTGTACAGCTTCACTTAAAATTACTACTGCAAGTCAGAACTCCAAATAAGTATAATTCTAGCCATTAAATTATAGATACCTTTTTTAAGAAAAGCTTTTTCTTGGTGATACAGCATTTTCTTTTCAGTCTAGTGCCACTATCCTCATCTGTACTATAGATTCATTTAGGCTTTCTTTTCACTTCTAGGAAAATTAGGTATAGCCACTCTTAAGGCTCTCCCAAGTAAAGGGAAATTCTCTCCCTTCTTTTTCTGCATGCTCCGATCTATTCTGTCTTCAAACATAGTACTACATGTTCTAACTTTCAGAAGTAACTTTAATTAAATGAACGCTAAATATTTGTATTAATTTCTAATTGGAAGTGGTGAAATAATAATATACAGGAAAATTTAGAAACATATGTTAATGTTATTTGGATTAAAGGCATATAGTACTGTTGGGATTCTCAAAGATAAGTACCATAAGTGTAAATGTAGTAAGAACAACAGCTATCATTATTTTTCTGTCAATAGTATACAACACAGTACACAAAGAAGCTGGGTTGATAGTATTTCCTCTTAGTATTTGGCTATCAGACATACGAGATGGTAATGTTTAAAAAAGATAAAAATTCATTAAATCATTCAGATTGATGTGCTTCATTCTTTTACTACAGAAAGCCGAGGTGATTTTATGTAGAGAAATGTGGAATAGGACTCAAATATTCCCTCTTTTTAGATAATCCTTTCCCTTGTTGATTATATGGACCATAGGACTGTGAGATAGAAAAAACTTTCTTTTTCAAAATAAATTTTATAGCTTAATTGGCTTTTTGTACATAGTAGATTATCTTGCATACTTGATTTCCGTTGTGAAGAAGGCTGTCCTTGCATTTCAGCTTTCTTTCCAAATCCTGAATCAAAGCTTCTTTTGATCCTTGTATTTCATGGTCAGGAGTCCTTGGTGTGAGCTTAGCATTTGCAGTTTGAGGTGGATTAGCATTTACAGGTGGACCAACTGAAGGATGTTGATAGCTTTAAAAAAGAGGGAGAGAAGTTTTTTTTTTTAAAGGAACGTCTTTAAAGATGTGGTATCTAAAATAGAATTGGCCTAATTTTGTAAGTAATTTTTAGTACTGTTAATGTTATTAAAAACATTAATTGTTCTAGAACAGCCAAGAAGGATTTTATAAGAACAATTACTAGTCCCCCCCCTCCCCGCCCACTTCTTATTCTTGGCAAATGAAAATCAGTGACAGGAGGAAGTATTTAAATTAGACATAAGGAGAATGTCCTTTGAAGATCTTTCCTGAAGAATGTGACGGCAAGTGATAGACTCCCTAATGGCAGCTTGACAGTTCATCCAATCTTACAAATGAATTTCAGAAATTTGATTTATAGGTGTGCTGGAGCTGTACACATGACTTGAGAGAGCTGATTTTCAGTGTTTCTTCCCCACTTCTTATGGTCTCATGTTGAAAGCTTGAAATTGACAGGATGGGGACATTTATATCAATCACCAAAATCAGCTCCTTCCTCCAGAGTGGATTGTTAATCATTTATCATCACACGAATGGTAGTTGGTGCATATTCTATTCCTTTGAATAGAGTCTACAGTTTACACAGCTTCTTGTTTTCCTATTAATTCTCAATTCCTATTTCGTATTATCCTAGAAATCCAATTATTGTACAACATAATAAATAATTTAAGTAACAAATAACTTCTGTAGTAATAACAGTTTCTTTAGCATTGCTGAGTTGATTTTAGGGGAAAGGGACAATTAGAGGAGAAAGGAGAAGTAATGTAAACTGCAAAAACGTAGTTTGGAACAACAACAACAAAAAGGCAAACTTGAATAGTAATTGCAGAGTTTGGTTCAAGTCCTTATTCCAAATTCCAAACCAAAATTTTCTTTTAAAGTGTCCTTGCACTTCCCATAGTTTTCCTCAATTCTGATAAAGGGCAGGGATGGTATTAATGAGCCCTGTGTTTTTAGATCTGTTAGGTGGCTCATACTTTTCACAGTGCTTTATTCAGTTTCCACCTAGTTTATTCTAAGGCCCTGGTGGTGCTAGCTTATATCAATCTGTTTAATATACAAACTTTGACACTGCTCTCAGTGAATGTTTTACTGTCATCATAATAAATGTTCTCCAGTTTTCCACACAAGGCATCCTTGGTCTGTTCTCTGATGTGTTCCTATCCAAATGTTCTCATGATCATTGAATGGACTTGTATGCTGAGAGGAAATGTTTCTTTTCTGAGTGGAGCCAGATTTTCATTTTTATTGGCTTTTGGGACTTGGTTGTAATCACCACATTTTAAACATACTAAAAGAAAAAGGGTCTTTTTTTTTTTTTTCTCATCATTGTATCATCTATATCGACTATCAAAAAGCCTGGATATAGGAGATACTATATGTCAAGTATGAATGAATGAATATTGTTCATTGTATTCAAGATGCTCTGTACTGGAAGTTGATGAGACCTATTTCCCCTCCTGACATTTTATGTCTGCCAAACGTGTTGCCTTCAAGTTGATTCCAACTCATAGTGGTGACCCTATAGGGCAGAGTAGAACTGCCCCATAAGGGCTTCAAGGCTGTGAATCTTTATGAAAGCAGACTACCACATCTTTCTCCCATGGAGCAGCTGGTGGGTTGGAACCTCTGACCTCTTAGTTATCAACCAAAAGCTTAACCATTGTGCCACCACCTGGTTCTACAGGGTTGTTTATATTAATCCTTAACTAAAGTTTGACTTATCAGTTAAGTAATACTCAAACCAAGTGTTTAAATAAGTAGTGAGCTTTTTTCCCCCTTTTTCAACATTGAATTCCTTATATATCTTGTATTTCTCCAACTGTATGAAGTTGTAATAGCCTTACTGTGTTTTTTTTCCACACTAGCCTATGATCTTTATAAAAGTCACATATGTTTGTCAAAGCGAATTAGCGTTAAATAATTTTGTTTTCAGACTGTCATAATGTAGTGTATCTGAGAAAATATGAAGATTATCAAAACCAAGCCTGAGAATCAGTGATGTGTATATAACTTTAGTCACTTTATTCATTTAATATCCCATTATTACCAGTTAGATTACTTAAGTGTTAAGACCTGATACCTGCTCATATTTATAAACCAATATACTTGCACATTGCTTTATAAGTCTTTTATTTTTTTCTGCCATTAATCATGCAAATCCTTAATTTTGTTACAGATCAGAAAACTGAGTCACCAAGCAGGTAAGATACTTTCTGAATACTAGACAGTAAGCTTTTGGAAAGGAATAATTAGAATGAAAAGAGTTTCCCTCAATTTCAAGTCTATGGTTTGATTAATTGAATAAACTCTTGCCAAAGGTCTTTCTACTGAGGAAAAGCTAAATAAAGCTTTCAGACTTCTCTAGGTCAGAATCAAAGGATTATTTTAGAAGACAGGGCAAAATTAGACCATCATAACAATGAAGGACTTATGCACAAATGTTCAAAGGGCCAGAGCTTTTCACCCTGTACAGCTGAACATGGAATGGGTATCAAGTGGCTATGGGAAGATTAAAAAAGTTATCTATAGTTGCTGAAAATGGAATTGCTAAAGCTGAATCTTTGATCTCTGGTTTTGGGACCTCCTTTGCTTCATTTCTTACCGTGTCTAACTTTTGCTTTTCTTTGCCTCTTCTTCGGTCTGTGCACAGAACTAAGTATGTGTTTGAGGCTCAGTAAATACTTGTTTGATAGCTTTATTTTCTGGGCACACATTTGGAATAGAATTGAAATATTTTACTAAGAAAAATATAATCAGAAAAGATTATTTTAAATTAAAAAAATGCTCATTATAGGAAATTTGGAAATAACAGAAAGCTTGATAGAAAATGATCATCTTGGTAAAATGAATCAACAAAAAAATCTCTGATGTGTAATAGGTATAAAGGGAATTTGGAAGTAAAGAGAGTGGGCTCTAAATTCTTTAAGGTATTCTTTAAAAATATGTACAATATATTTTAAAATATATAAGAGATCACCATTTTTGTAGGACAATTGACTATATCAGCCATTTAAAATGGTTCAGCCTAATTATCTATAGGATTCTGGCAAATGTTCTTGGCTTTCCTAATTTTACATTTTTACAAGTTGAATTGCTGAAGTTGAATTCTTAATGCTACTTCTCTAGGTTTCCTAGTTATTACCAACAGAAATTTCTAGAATAACTAACCACAAAAGAAGACTAAGAAATTATCAAGAATTTCAGGGGATCTGTTACTTATCTTGCAACAAAACATATTTCATCAGCTTGTGAGATGCCTCTGATTTAATACTCTGATGTTCTAGCCAAGTCAAGGAATAGGAAAACTGATAGCCCTAAGTTTACATAAGCACAAAGTATTCAGTCCATGTTTTAAAAAAAGCACGGCCACTACATCCTTCATATCAGGTTCTCCTAGGACAGTTTTAGGGTTGTGGAAATAGTTCATGCTTGCAAAAGACTGCAGGTATTCTTTCCTGTATGCAGATCAACCCAACCAATTTGAACAGTGTGGTTTTAATTATCAAAGGAAACCTTAAGGTCATAAGTCTTCATGTATTCAAGCTTTCCTTCTGATCATAGGAAAATTCATACACTTTAATACCTGATTTGTTTTTTTAGTTAAGTGGATCAGAGGGGGAAATGGATAGGAAGAAAAGACTAAGACAAAAGAAACTTAATAGCCTCTACTTATGTGAGAGGAAATCCTATCTGAAGAAGAGCAAACAGGTGTTCTTCATCTCAGCTGAACCCAGAACCAGAGGAATTAAATTTGCAGCATGAGGAACTTAGTTTAGAACCAGATGGAAAGTTCTTTGTTCTTGAGTGTGTTAGAAATCTTTTTTTTTCCACATGAAAAATAATAGGTTAAGTAGTTGTGTGTAAAAAGTGGTTTTGGTTCACCTCAGCCTAGACACTGGGACAATGGGTTAAATGACCTTTGACTGCCACTACCCTTTTTCAAGGTGTTCTGGGTGAATTATGGAATGAGACTTTAAGGTCACAATGCCTTTTTAGATAATGAAGAATGAACTGCAGCATATCCCCAAAACTCAGATATAAGCTCACTATACATACAAAGTGTGTATATTTTAAGAAACTCACTTACTTGGAGTCCACGGTGGAAGGTATTTTACTGCTACTGTAATCAGGCTGTGATGGTAATATGGAGCTGAGGAAGCTGGCTGGGGACTGGTTATAGGTGGCTGCAAACCTTTGGCCCTGGTTGGAGCCAGTGAGTTGCTGGGGAGAAGCAGGGAAAGCTGAGGAGGACATGGTGATGTGAGAGCTCACTGTTGAGGAAGCACAAAATCTTTTCTCTGTGCACTGGCGGGGCTGGATAGTAATGGAAGACTGTTTGGTCTGGCTAGAGAAGCTGGAGGTTTCAGGTCCGGCAGGTTGCAGTCTGGAGCTACATGGGTTTTGGGACTGGATAAAGTGTTTTGGACGTTCGTAATTAAACATGTTTAGCTGGTATATGGAAGATGAAGGCAGGTTATTGCTATAATGATTTGCTCCTGGAGGGGTTGGGTCCTGAATTTGGGGCTGCAAGCATGGAATTATGGAAGGTTGCAAGGAATCAGAAGCAACCTTGGTCTGCCCTTCCTTGTTGAGATCCTGGGAATACTTTGCTTCTGGCTTTGATGGATTTGGCTTCTCTTGAAGAATATTGTTCCTTCAAAAAGAGAAAATGATTAATGTAAGCCATAATATTTGTTTTAAAAATACTGCTTATTTAACATCTTTAGGGGCTTATATACTTTATTTTTAGTCTTTTTTTTTTTGGGGGGGGGTGAAAGTTTACAGAGCAAATTCACTTTCCATATAGCAGTTCACATACACTTTGTCTCATGACATTGACTACAACTTACCACAATGCAACAGCTCCCCTCCCACTTCTTCCCCATAGTTACCTCTTCGCTGTGTCCTTCCCTCCATGCACTCCAGCCCCTTGAGCTATGTCCCTGTGAATACATAAACAGCCCTTCTTTCTCCCCTGATTGTTCTCTCCAAGGAGTGTTATCTACCTAGTGTACATGTTCACCTCGTATGCCTGTCTTTTATTTGACTGGAAGCCACAGGTGTGGGCTCAGTTCCAGACGTGAGGGGCAGCTAGAGGCCATAGTCTCAGTGGTTC